GGCCCAGGGACATGGCAGGGATCTCCAGACAGGCTCCCCTGTTTGTCCCGCACACCACTCAGAAAAGCGGCTGCTGGGCCATTTCTCTTTCAAAACAGTGATCCCAGAGGCAGGATGGGGGAAGGCTTCAGGCATGCTGCTTCCACCCCCAGCACAATTCCATTGGCTGGTTTCTGGCCACAAACTGGCCAATGGGAACTACCTGTTTTGAATAAGAAGCAGCACATGAAGGCATCAAGACCCCTCTCCTCCAGCTCAGTTATTCACACAAGCAATAGGCCTGCAGCCTGTGCAGGTAAGCTGTCTGCCTGGCTGAGAAACTTTTTTAAGCTCTACAGGCAGGCTGGTTGGGCTGCTGGCTGCTAAGTCTCCTGGCCAGAGCCTGTCTCTGGCACCCCAGCCCCTCTCTTCCCCATCTGCCCTCTTCCTGCAACCATACCCCCTCCCAGACCTGGCACCCCAATCCCTTGCCCCAGATCACAATCCCATCCTACCCTAGGTCACAACCCAAACTCTTGCACCCCAGGCTCCAGCCCTTGGTCACATTCCACTCCTGCCCTAGGTCACATTCCAAAATCCTGTACTCCAGCCCCCTGCTCTAGGTCACAACTGACTCCTTCACCCAAACTCCCTCCCAGACCCCACTCTTCCTCCTCCACCCAATCCCTTACCCCAAGCTTCCTTCTGCACCAGACCCTGCACTTCCTCTATTAATACCATGGAAGCTTGCGGCCCTTGACCACTTTCCAAAATCTTGGAGTGTCCTCCCTTTCCCCTGGCAAATTATTGTGCACCCCTGCACTACATGGAACAGCACACCATACTCAGTAGGCATGGGCATTACATTTACAAGAGCAGTTCTCTTCTACTTCCTGGTGACATTAATGAGCCCATGTCAAGAGGGCGGCCCCTCCTACTTTTACTCTAGCCCTGGGGAAGGGCTGCACCTGAGAGACAGGAACCAATGTCCCCTCAGGTAGCCACATTTCCTGGGGTGCTTCAGTATAGGCTGTAGGACTTGAGTTCTTGCTCGCCCCTTTTTTGCCCCCCAAGGGAGGGTTCAGGGCCTGCTTTTTAGGGTCCACATCACTCGGCCCTTCAATACCCCCTGGGCTAATTCTCCCCTGAGGAGTTCACCAAAGTACCACTTCTCTGCAGGTTCTTGGGGTCGTTGCCTCTTGCCCACCGGGAGGTAGGGGGACCTGGGCCCAAGGCCGTAAGGGTAGGAACAACAGCCACTACCCAGTTGGTGGGGGGAAAACGTTGCTGCCCACCGGGAGGTAGGGGGACCTGGGCCCAAGGCCGTAAGGGAGGGAACCCCAGCCACTACCCAGTTGGTGGGGGGAAAACGTTGAAACCCACCAACTGCTCAGGCTAACCCCACCCTGGGCCACTCCCTACCGACACCCTGCCTACCACTCGCCATCCAGCAGGGTGCAGTCTTCTTGCCCACGCCGGCGTCCTCTGCTCTGTTCCCGTTGCGGTCTGGGTGCGTTGGGCATCTCTCCAATCCCTGCTGGGATGTCTCAAGGTTCCCATGTCCAGGAGCCTGCTCGGTCCAGCCCAGTCACCGGCTCTCCCTCCGTGACAGTGTCCACCTCTCCCCATGGGGGGAGGGAGTGTCTCGGGGCTTCATTCCCCGTCCTGAGCCCCTCCCGGCGGCATGGGTGGTCTCACACCCTCTAGCCGCAAGGTCGCTGGGGAGCTGGTCTGGCCCACTCCTGGGGCCAGAATCCAGGAGCCGAAGTCAGCTCCGGAGTCTGAGGTCGCAGGGCCAGCTGGGACCTTCCCGCTCTCCCTGCTGGCGGCTGCATTTCCCCCGTCAGCACTGACGCCTCCTCACACCCCCTGCACAGCACTGCTGGGGTTTAAATCACCCAGCACGCAGGAGGAACATGCGCAGCAACACTGGAGGCACGGCGCTTGTTCGGGCTGCGGGGCGAGCTCCTCCCCAGTCTGAGTGCAGGGCTGGAGCGCCCCGTCACAGCCCACCAACGTGAGTAAGAGTTACACAGTCTAGTCCTTCTTTTTCATTTGTATGGCCTTTCAACAGTGATGGCTAGGACGTAACTGGAGTAAAGCGTAGCTGAAGTAGGCAACCCACATTAGCTGTCATTTGAATTCAGATGCACCTGGAGATGGGAAAACTGGTTTATCTGAAGTCAATATTTTTCTGCACACGCAAAGCAGTTGTTATGGACAAATCAATAAAAAAGAGGCCCCCTTCCCCCTCCATTTCCCTTGAGAGCTTACTTTCGTTTAAAAGTGAACGTGACCCTGGAGACCAGATAGACTTAGAGTCTGATCCATTATGGTGAGAGATTTCCATATCCTATGGCTCCAGAGAGATGGTCTTGAAAGGCTGACTTGTGACTTTTTCTAAGGATGAAACCCTGTTTGTTTGTTTAGGCACTAGCATGCGGCTACTGGAGGTAACTTGCTGCTGAGGTCATAAGCAAACCAATTTTTCTTTTATACCAATGCCTCCTGTAACAATCTAATAATAGGTCCAAGAGAGAGAGGAAACTACAGTTTATAGATGCATTTTGAAAACAGCATATATGTTAAAATTCACTTTAATTAGGTGATTTTGAAGTGTGGTGGATTTTTGTTTTTTGTTTTTTCATCGAGAAGGTTATTTACTGAGTATCTTGGTGGTATGTCAAGGTTGAGGGAAGCACTCTAGCACACAAAGCTAGCTTCATGCAGCTTTTATGGGGAATCAGCCTTGAAGCTGTCACCTGTAATGCACTTTCTCTTTTGAAGCAGCTGCTTCATTTATTTTAAGGTTCGCTTATTTTCTAGGACTGTCTTTTCATATTCAGATCAGTACCAGAGAGAGAAGAAAGCAAAGCGTTGAGACCACTTACCAGGGCTAACGTGTTCAGAGGATGCAATATTACCCTCCCTGAAGCCTCCTGTAATGTTTACCTGAAGGGCCTAAAATAGGGTCTTGGGTTTTTTTTGGTTGGTTGGTGTGTACGTGTGTTTCTTAATCTCTTCATTCCTTTGGAGAAAGAAATAGCTCTGAAAATTCTCCCCTAATTTAGGAAATATTTTTCCAGTGATGTCAGAAATGGATATTAACACCCCTGGTTCAGTATACAGGATGCCTCATGCAATTTAGCATTCTGAATTGATTGTGCTGTACAAAATAAAACTGGGGGGGGGGCAGCTAAATGCAATCTCCAATATACCCCCGCCTCAACAGTTTATAAGGTCACAGGCCCCAATTCAGCAG